TCTGATGAAAATTTGAGGATGAAAATTTGATTGCAGATCGAGTGGTCAACAATGTGTATTAACATGGCAAAGCCTTGCTCGTCTGGAAGTGTTTACTTTTCAGTCAGAATCGATTAATGAAACAATGTATGTGACGTGGTTTTTTAACATGCGCAGCCGCAAATCTCAATAAAAACCTCCATACCAGGCGTTGCAGTCTCCACAGTCCGCGGAGCGTTCGCCCGGTGGCCAACTTTTAGCCTTGGTCTACCGGTGTGCGAAAATGATGATGCTTCTGAAATAATAGGCTTTAAACACATTAACCTATCAGTAATACAAGTAATGTGACGTAATGTTGAGCATGCTCACCCGAAAATCTTAGAAACAAAGGCCTCGACCCCAGGCGTTGCAGTCTCCGAAGGCCGCGCATCGTCGGTCCAGCAGCTAATACTGAGCCGTGGCCAACGTGTGGACGAAAATGATCATGCTTCTGAACGCAATATCTTTGAGCCCTTCATCACATCAAATTTTACATTTAGAGGGCAGTCTGGGCTCATATTCCACGTGTGATTTTTAGACTGATCATAACGACGGATTGGTCCTTAAAGTACTGCGCAGTGGGGCTAGTATCTGGTCGTCGAACAGGAAGAGTAAAGGTAGAATCTCTATTTTTCGTGTTTCTGTAATAAGTTATCTGTCCAGAAGACAGATCAATACGGCGCCCACCTGGCACCACTTCCAGTGGCCGGAGCCGTTCGCTTTGCGGAAGCTGCAACGCAGGTCATCAATGTCCTTGCTCTCGAGGCTGCGGGCGGGCGGTTCAAACCTTTTGATGTTATTGGTTTCACCAATCCGTTCTGAAAAAAATGAGCGTTCTCAGGCAAACATGGGATGGCCTTGCTCGTTTTTTAAGCTCATTTCAAACCACTTTACTCAACAATAATGGGACCACCACTCTACTCAACAATAATGAGACCCCTTATTTCCTTCCGAGCAGGCGGCCCCTTGAGTATAACATCAGCGGTACATTGCCGTTTCCGGTCAAGGGCTGAAAAGCCACTCCGCCCCATCGTGAGCCGTCTTCTGGCTGTCGTTCTGGCGACAGGGGACAGGATCTCCTGGTCCATCCGAAGGCCAGAAGAAGGATATATCATATCACATTGTTCAAAAGGACTCCTGACACGGGAGTCCTTGTGACCCGCGCGGTTGGCCCTGGATCAACACAGGAACCTTCATTGAGGCAACAACATTCCTGATCAGCGCAGGTGGTCCAATAATTGTCACATAGACTCCAGTTCCATGTTTTTCTGTGTTCAGAAATATTCAGGACCCCCTGAACGTAGATTGTAGATGAGAAGGGTCTCAAATTTGTATTAACATGGCTAATCCATGTTCAACTTAAAATGTCCAAGGTTCAATCAGAATTGATTGCCGCTAAAAACTATGTAATGTGGTCTTGAACATGCGCGCTCGCAAGTCGTAGCAACAACAGGCTCGGCGCCCGGCGTTGCAGTCTCCATGGGCCGCGCGGCGTCGGCCTCGCGGCTGTGACAGTAAGCGATGGCCAATGAGCGAACGAAAAAGATGACGCATCTTGAGGAAGATGGCGGGTGAAATATGTAAATCTTCATGTATGTTTACTGTAGCGCAAAAAGAAGCTAAACACAACCTTAACCTGAAAAGTGGGGAGTCAGTTAACACTGCTGCCCCCACCCCCACCCTGAGAAGTGTGGGGACATGATCCCCTTGCCCCCCCCCTCCTGTTCCTACACCCACGCCCAACAGCACGTAGAGCCCTAGGGGAAAATGCAAAAAGATCAAGACAACGTGGAAGGCTCCTTAGCGATCGGACTGACCCGGCAAGTGGACGTATAGGGTCCCGGCAGCAGGTTAACACTTCTGGACAACGCAGTGGGCCTCACAGTTTCCCCCAAACACCATCCTCTCAATCAGCGAAGAATCAACTTTATCTGCTTAGGGGCCCTTCGCTTTCGCTTGCAACTGTTCTTGGTTGACTGGAGGCCTAAAGACGTTCAATTTTATTATGTTTTGTGCTAGAACACTGCGGCCGTTCGGCCGGTGAAGGGACCATTCGGAGCCTATGGGTTTCCTCGGGGCACAAGGGGGGGGGGGGGGCATGGTCCCTTGCCCTTCCTCCCCTGGATCCGCTACTGGAATCTGTGGAAGGCCCCTGATACTGGGTCCGTTACTGGATCCGCGGAAGGCCCCTGATTGACAAGCTTTCTCCTAGCAGGAAGGAAGGACCCCAGCGACAGCGTAGGGGCTTCCGAGCTAATGCAAAGAAACGATAGCAACGTAAAAGGCTCCTAACGATGGAATGACCCTGCAAGTGAACGTATAAGTCCCCAGGAAATAGCAAAGGGCCTCTGGACACCATAGCGAGCTTTAAAATCTCTCAATCACCACCCCTTAATTAGTGAATAATCATTTTCGTCTCCTCATGGTCCAATTGTCTTCCTGTCTTCTCAACATCAGGCTTTTCTGCGTTTTGTGTAACAGAAAATTCTTCTGCTCAGCCAGGTATGGACCCCTTTGGAGCCTTTGGGCCTGTGACCGTATGCCCCCTGGATCCGCCTCTGATATTGCCGCGTAAAAACACTAACCGTTGTGAAACAAACTTAACCTTGGTAGAGCGTGAGGGCTATTATGACCGCATTCATGGTGCGGCGAAATGCGCGGTTCCAGGCTCGCCCTGCAAAATAAGTGTTGGTACGTGGCTCATCAAAGCGGGCCATTTGGCCGTTGGCTTGATAATGTCAACCTGGTTACAGGACGGTCAACAGTCGTGTAGTCGCATGACACGGCTAAGATCCATTCATGCTATTTAGATAATACACCGAGGCAAAATGGATCCGTCGAAATCTGACTACCTCGCCGAAGCACTCGCGAATTTTCTTGACTCGCAGCCTTAAGGCCTTGCTCGCTTTCACCATTGCTGCAGGCGTCCTGGGCGCTCGCGGCGCCACCTACCGACCGGCTCAGCTAACTATCGAGCGTCAGCTGACTAGTTGGCCAGCTGACTGCGTTGCGCCGACTATGGCGCATATTGGCATCAGTCCTAGCGTTGGTGGTGTACGGTGGGAAGACGAGGTGCGCGCGTCGCTGGTTGCGCATTGCGCGAACATCAATACGCTGGAAATGTACGCGGTAACAACGACGAAGCGCCCAAGCAGAATAGTGACGCGAACTAGGCCAGGTGAGATGTGCACTGCGTGCTTTTGATGAGTGGTGTGTATAGAGCGGACCGCCGTGGTAATGATCACACACTGGCATGGCGGTGAACGTTTTGGGGCGCATGGGTTACGTAATCGCATGGGATATCTGCCAGTACCGGTTTGCTCATCATGCCCACGCGGAGTTCAAAGAAAAGTTAGGTGGTTGTTGACGTAGGCTCAGTGTACGGGCTGGCGGGAAGACTTGAGCGTCGGTTACTCGCGGCTCAGGATTGGCTTGGACTGCCAATCAGTGCAAATATAATCGGGAAACCTGCGGCGGAATATTGTCCGAAAGCTCGGGGTAAACGATCTGATGTGCGAAGGCTTAGCCACCCGTTGAGGCATTCCTGAAGAAGCTTGGTTTTGCATTTTAGTGAAAAACTGTCGGTGTTAGCCAGTGGCGGATCCAGGAAGAACATCTTGGTTGCCCTTCTTTTCACATTCAGATTTAGGCGATAAATGAAGTTGAAGGGCGTGAATTAGGCCGCCAAGGTCGCGTTTGCCATCGTTGGCTCCCTGACAATATTGGATTGCGGCAAAGTAGTCTGAAGTGGGGCTTCGTTAGCGAGGGATCTCAGGGACTCCCTGAAGCCTTGCATCGTTCCCTGACGCCAGCAACGGTCCCACTGCGTTGACAGTTTGTCCTCCCAAGCCGGGGCATCAGTCCCCCCACGTAGTTTGTCCACCCTGGCTGGCTACCCTGCTGATTGTCCTCCCTAGCTGGCCACCCTGGTGGTTGTCCTCCCTAGCTGGCTATCCTAGTGATTGTCCTCCCTAGCTGGCCGCCCTGGTGACGCCCTGCATGCCCTGACGCGGTGCTTGTGGAGGCCCGCGCGGAAGGCCGGCCGTTGGCGGAAGAAAGGCACAAGGTCATGATGCAGCTCAGCGACCCGCCGTCAACATTTATATGAATTGGTCGGTCAGTTGGAACGGACCTCCCTAAGCTTGGTATGGGATGAGTAAACTTAACTCAAGTTTGGGATGAAATAGGTTTTGTGCACCCGTGCTGCCCACGCGATGCCTTAGACCTAACACCAACTTCATGAAACGTTGGGGATTTGACGGCATTTTCTCAAAACAGTCAAGCTCCGTCCATGTCGCATTTCACTCCTGATGCGTGCGATACTGTGCGGTGCTCTCAGTCACTGAACACAAATTTTGCTCACCAAGCAGCACATTTCAAGTTTTCTCCAAAAAGCGTACTAATTTAGACCACATTCCTCACATTCCTGCGAAATCACCCAGTAATCGGTGTAATCTCGAGGCTAAAGGAACGGGAGCGGGAAGTACGGTCACCTTGGCCATCCCTGGCTGCACTTCAGCTCAATAATTGTTCTGCATGGTTGTGTTCAAAACATGAACGATTAGGCTGTGGGAGCAGTGTGAAACCTATTGTGCGTGTACGAGACATTGTGTTAATGTTAGAACTCACGGTGAAATCAAACCAATTTTCATCTCAGAGCCTATTGCTTCAATCGCATTGCTTGCACGTCGTGAGCTCATCCCTACTAACACTTCTGTAGCGCGATTTAAACGGCGGTGGGCAGGCCGGCGTCCCGCCTGGGCCGAGCCGCGTGCGCACGCCCCGGCGTCGGCCTTGGCTTCTACGCCGTGGTGTACGGGGTGGCGCCCGGGAACGGGAGCAGCACCCAAGGCTAGGAGCGCCCACCTGCGCCGGCGGTGGGGCGGCTCGCCGGCAGCGGCGCGGGCTGCTCGCGCTGCCTTGACCGACATGCGGGCCGCAGTGTGCTCTGAAGATTCGCGTCACTTGCGAGAGAGGACAGCGCTGGGATGAGACGCGCGGAAGGGATCTCACCACTCCTCAGACCCGCATCGTTCTCGTTTAGCATCTTTGACGACTTCCGACGAAGTTATGGTCGGCGTGATGAGTATCATTCATCCCCCCAAAAATCGTGGCTGCACCCCAGTTATCGGCAAGTTGGATAACTCGCTGTGTCGAGAAGGTGAGACGAAAGCTTTCTCTGAAGGCTTGGCATGGAGAAAATTACTGTAATATGTACTAAAAGTGTGTACTTACGTGCGTACGACGTAAATTTGGTCGTTGTCGATACGTGAAAACGCGGCAGGTACCACCGGTGCCCATCTGTACTTACTCGTGGCTACGTGAACGCTAGGTAAAAACTTGAATACCTTAGTCTAGACTAGTTTCAGACCAGTCTTAGTCTAGAAGCGGATCCGATTTGGGCTTGCGTGAAATACTGCGCTTCATGTACGTTGTATAAATGGAACACGCGGAATTCAGCCGGTGAATTTGTGCTTTAAATTCAGCCAAGCACTACACATCCGAGTTTGGACTGTTATGATATAATTACTCGAAAACACGACCCTGGCTGTCAAGTGAGAGGCTAGTTTTTACCACGTGGGACAGACATCGGGGCGAAGCCAGCAACTCGGCTTCGAAGCTGTAGGAAGCACCGGAGGCTACTCTCACGCGTATGTGGACTGCATCACGAGCCATAATGCTGACGTGAATCAAGCCACCGTGCGGTGGGCCGTTTTCGCTTTCCATTCAAACATCGGTGTATTCGTGAACCCCTTGCTAGCCTCTTAGCAGGCGGCCGGATGTTTGCTGCGTCCAGGAGGGCCGCTTCATCTGCAGATATGGCGGCGAGCCGTCCAGCGACGCTAGAAACGGCGCCGGGGGAAGCCGGCTGGCGGCGACCAGCCTCCCTTGCGCCGACGTCACGGCCGCGGGCTCCAGGGACGGACGGCGCTCTGCGTGGGTGGCGACGGAGATCCCTAGCCCCCCCCCCGCCCAAGCAGGGCCGGAGCTTCTTTAAAATCGAGGAACGCTAGCTTTTCAGTAGTGCGTCCAGACCATTTGTTTCTATGCTATGCCCATCGACTCGCGGCCAGAGTCGAGAAGCGCTCCAGGGGAGCTGTCGGGCCGGAAAAGGACTGGAAAATTTCGCCGGTGCCCCTGGCGGACGTGACGCGAGACACTCCTGTGTTACTGGTCCTGTTCAGATACGGCCCTGCGGCGCGCGCTCTGTCGCGGGGTCGTGGCAGTAGCCTGTGGTTTGTGAGCGGTACGTGAGCTCTGAGTTCCAGGGCATGTTTTATTTGAGCAGAGCTAGGCAAGATGTCAGCAAGGCTGTTGCATAGCGTTTCGAAGTGAGGAAACACAAAAGATAGCTGCTTCGTGTCATTGTGGTAAGAACGTCTCAAGAAGCGTGGGGAGGTCAGGAGCAACTTGGAAGCCCATTTTCCATGCGATTTTGCTGCATGAAGGAGATATGGCTTGGCGTAATTCCATTGTACTGAAATTGATAATTTCTTGTTATCAGCCTGCTTGATTTCAAAATCATTTAGGAAGACGACAAATTCTGCCCATGGTTCTGGACATTAATAAACATAACCCCTCAAATCCGGCGGTGATTTTCATTCGAATGCACTCCTTTTGGGAGCCGGGACACACCGAACTCCTCGATCACGCCTCCGTTGTCACGGCATGCTGTAATCCAGACCATCTTTTGAACGCACTTGGTCGGTGCCTAGCCTAGGCGGTAGGGAGAGCGAGCGTCGCGACAGCCACCAAACTGGCCGCATCGCCCAATCCCTTCCCACAGGAGTGCGGCTTCCGAGAACTCGGCTGGGAAGGGGAGGGGACGCCGGGCCGCGCCACCCTCCGCCCGTTCTGCGCGTCTTCCGCATGCCGACGCCCCGGGGCCCGAAGTGCGGGGTACAGACACCTCCCAGGCGCCGGCCGGGGGCCCGCTCGACACGCCGCCGCTGAAGGCGCGTGACACGTGGTGCCGCTGGGCTGCCCACGGACGCCAGGGTCGCCTTCAGCAGCGCGGTCAGTGCCGAGACCGCCGTGCCACGGGTCCCCTCGGGACCGGAGCGTACGGGGGAGGGGCGGGTTGAATGAGCAGCGGCTCGGCGATAGGGAGAAGGGTCCCGCCAGTATCCAGCCGCGGGCCACGCTTGTTGCGGTGCGCGGTTCGATGGCCACGTGGTCAGGGGTTGCATTGTAGCCGTTTTTGAATAGCGAATGGGCGGACGCGCAGCGCTAATCCCTATGTACGCCGACTGGCGCCTGGCGGTCGCGCAAGGGAGCGTCGTGTCGTCACCCGCCCACGCATTCCTCTTAAAAGCATCCTCGCTTGTATAGTTATGCGGGTACTACAGACGCAAGAACCAGGGTATAGCTCTCCCGTCGGGCGAGATGCGCATGCGCACAACGCCACAGACCATTGCAGGCTGCAATGCTTTTTGCGAGGCTGTTCTGAATGCGTGCATTGTGCGTCGATTTTCGCTTTGACTGCTTTCTATTATGCGTTGATTGCTAATCACCGTGCGTTGATTGCTAATACTGTGTGTTGATTGCTTGTTACTGTGCGTTGGCTGCTAACTGGATAAATATCAAACAAAATCATCCGATTACAGCCCAGTGCCAGCAATACCATGGCGGAACATGCCTCGCCCTGCGCCGGACCGCTGCCGTCCTGCGCTCCCCCCCCCCCCCCCGCCCTAACCGCTGCCGCCCTGCGCCTGACCGCTGCTGTCCTGCGTCCCCCCGCCCTAACCGCTGCCTCCCTGCGCCGCCCTGCGCCGCCCTGCGCCTGAGCGCTGCCGTCCTGCGTCCCTCCCCCTCGCCTGATCGCTGCCGTCCTGTGCCCCCCCCCCCCCCCACTTGAGCGCTGTCGTCCTGCCCGCCCCCCTCGCCTGACCTCTGCGGCCCGTTCCAGGCCGGACCCCGCGAGCCGAGGCGCTGGACGCAGGCCGGGAGCAGAGCCACAAGTCGTCTTCAGAGCCGTCGCCGGCCTCCTCGCCAGAGATGAGGTCGGTGCGGGCTGACGCACGCGGCCGGGCGGCGACAGGCACTGGCACCCCGGCTCGAGACGTTTGATGTTTGATTCGCGCCGCAAATCGTGTTCACTAGCCCCCGTTGCTCCCGGGGTTTGCCGACGCTAATGTCTTGCGATCCGACGGTATAGTTTCTAGTGCCAAGCGGCAACATGCATCAATAAATAACCCGACGGCTAACACGCCGTTACAGAAGAGCGCGTTCCCTTGGAGCCAATCGCGACGCATGCGACTGATCCTCAGAGTTTTGCAATCGTTTGACGGTGGAGGCCTTCATGTCACGGCGTCCACGCCCAGCACGCCTCCAGCCAGCGCCAGCACCGGCCGAGCGCGTGCCAGCATGGCTTGGTAACCCCTGTCGGCGTCCACGCCCAGCACGCCTCCAGCCAGCGCCGGCACCGGCCGAGCGCGTGCCAGCATGGCTTGGTGACCCATGTCGGCGTCCACGCCCAGTACGCCTCCAGCCAGCGCCAGCACCGGCCGAGCGCGTGCCAGCATGGCTTGGTGACTCCTGTCGGTGCACCACGACCCGCGGTCAGCGGCGCCGCCGCCGTCGCCGCGCCGGAGTCTGACAGCCGCGCCGTGTCCGTGCCAACAGCTCGCCCCGGCCGACGTTCACGCAGCAGCGGCGCCACCAGAACCACGCCCGCTACCGACAGGACACGGCCATGAGCGCGCAGCACCAGGAGGACGTGCGCTACCTCAGCTACAGTGAGTGGCCCGGCCGGGTCCGAGCGCGACGCCCGGCGCATGCGCCCCGGTCAAGGTCGTGAGTTCGAGGCTGACGGCGAGATGTTTGTGGGATCACCGGCCGCGATTGGGAAGCGCGGCGGTAGTGATCGCGGTGGTGAGACGCGTCGTAAAGCATGTGACACTTCCCGGTGGGCTTCGGAAGGACCGGAGCAGGGTGCCATTGTGTGTGTGGGGGGGGGGGGGGGGGATACGTCTCGTGTTCTATAGATCCTGATCCAAGCTTCGGTCCAGGAAACTCGTCTAACACTGTAAGCCGAGTGTACCGTACGTCTAACACTGTAAGCCGAGTGTGCTGTACGCGGCGGCCCCAGAGCTTCAATAATCCCCGAACGGTTGATGTGATTTTCGCGCTGGTCCTCGCTTGGCTGCGATTTGCGCCAGCCATTGCTGCCACGTTAGTGAAACCGTCGACCTTCCATGCTGGCCTGTCCGACCGGCGTCCTCGGCGTCGGCGTCCTGGTCATGAGCGCCTCCAGTTGGGCCTTCCCTCGCACCGCTCTTCCCTTGTCGGTGACTTTTGATGCACTCCGTTACCCGAGGGTGGACTTTGTCTCACGCCGCACGCTCCTCCATTCCCAGCATGGCGACGCGTACAGGAGGAGTGCGAAAACTCGAAAAACTCCGGCGCAGGTGAGTGTTGACGCACAGTGCTCCTCTGTGTGATGGGGTTGGTAGCAGTACATTCCCGAGTGGGTTGGAACTCCGAGCATGAAGTCACGCACCGCTCGTGTTCTCAGTAACCGGTCCAAACACGCTATGAGCGTCGCGACGCTCGTGCCGCGCCCTTTGAGTGATGACCAAAGCGTGTCCTGGGGGCGTTTTGATGTCTCAGTGATGCCGCCTCCAGTATGCGGAGCCTGGCCCCCTCTGACAGCCTGATCCCGGCGGATTTGTGTCTAATCAGCGCGTGACACACGCCTCAGCTGGGCGCCCAGCTGCCTGGGGCGACCGTCTGACGCTTCGTCCCATTCATTGCAGACATGTCCTCTCTGTACTACCAGGAACCAGCGCGGCATCCTGCGCTACAAGGTAACGTCTACACATGCACACGGTACCGATGCGGTGCCTACCCTTGTGGGCCGTGGCTGGCTTACACCTCTGATTATTATTATTATTAAAAGAGAGAACGTAACGCAAGCCACCACGCATCCTCTTGTTTAGCGCCAGCGACTGCACCGCTGGTGCTCGGCTGTTGTGTGCCTGGCGTGTGGGGCATCCTCTGATCCTTTTATTCGCCGTTAAAGCGTCATCATTGCTACGGCTTTGTCTCATGAGTTACGAACTGGAGGTCCAGGCAATGCCATACTCATGTGGAGAGACCTCTGACGAATCTCCTGGATTGTAGCTCCCTCTTCCTCCCCCGCCCCGCCGCACAACTCTCCAGCCACAGCCCGCGAAAACTGGACAAAGCCGGTTTGTTCCGGTCGCCAGCGGCCGGGCGCGCCCCTCATCGCCTCTCCGTCTTCTCGCAGACTTCGAGCCCTTCGATCTGGAGTCCTGGTGGGGACGCCGACTCTATCAGCAGCTCACGGGCGGCACGTCATAGTGCATGACGTCACCACCCGACGGCCCGCCGCTCCTGCGCAGTGGCGCCCCTGCCCGGCGGGCGGGACGGGGACGTGACTGCTCCCGTCCCGGTCACGGCAGCCGACCGTGACGTGTCGTAACGCGCCGTGACCGCTCGCGTCACGGCTGGCACCGTGACGCCATGTCGCCAGGGCGGAGGCGCCCCGCACTGCGGCTTGTGCGGTCACTTCATAGATGTCACTGCATGCTCAGATCATCCCGCATCAAAACGACGGAGCGTTTAGCCAAGAGAACTGTGTTTCAGTCTGTACCGTGTGCCACTGACGCTCGGAGAGAGGCGGGGAGCTGGCACCATTCCATAGGCGGCTGTTGAGGCTCTCACTGGGATGAAAGGGCGCCAAAGTTTTTTGTTTTGTTTGAGAAGCGTGCGCCTCGCATGTTGGTCGGCTCCTGTTGGCACGCTCGAGCAGCGCGGGCTGAAGCGCTTCGCGCGGAGCTGCGTGTTTTACCCAGACCATCGTGCAATACGCCGCTGTGCTACATCCGTGGTGTGCGTGTGTGTGTCCACGTTTTTGTGCGTTCAAGCTCTTGCTTTAATCGAGATTTCTGTGCATGTCGACGTGTCGCTGCTGTATAATACAATGTGAAGTGGTGCTCTGGCGAGCTGGCTTTTCGCGGTCTGGCAGTGTAGACCGCTCCCGTGTGGCGCTCAGCACGGCTTCTGGCCTTGGCTGGTTCTGTGACAGGCTTTTGCGGGCCCGTGCTAAGCTTTAGATAAGGACGTTGTCCCAGGGGACGTATTCTGAAAGGGTGACGACAATGCATGTGCTGGTACCGGCCACAGTAGCATTTTGCGTTTTGTTCTGCCATTTTTTTTATCGAATGCGTACCCGAATTATGCACGTGCAACAGAAGGCAGGACATTGTTACACACATATTACAAGCGCAAGTGTCTGGGGACAGCGGTGTTGGCAAACGGGCGTTTGAGGGTGTATCGAAATGCCACTCGGGCGCAGACGCTACGTTCCACGTGCAATGCGGGTGTGATGAAGGGGGGGGGGGAGGGGTAGGGCTGAACAGTGAAAATCAACCCTATGCCAACAATCAGTTTTTCCCCAACTTTGGCCAACTTTCTTCCCAACGTTGGGGGGGGGGGGGGGGGCTGAAGCGCCCCAACTAAATAGAAAGCTAAACCCTCAAACATGGGCATAGTTTCAAAAAATGAGTTAGGGGGCGGATCCACGAAGAATCATAAAACCTTCCCCAGAAATTCCACAACAAAAGGGCTTTGCCCCGGATTTGACCCATTTTTCTGTCAAAAATGTGTTTGGCGGGGGGTTGGAGGCTGAGTTGGGGGTGGGGAGTTGGAGCCCAAGAAGGAAACTACACCCGTGCCCCTGACATCAGCATACATTTAGATTACGTAACTGCAATGAAAATACCCGCGCTGCCGACCCGCCCCCGCGTTCTGCTTCGGTCCCGCATGGCTAGATAAGTCCTTGTATCAGTTGGTGTCGGAGTGGGCCAGGGACGGCGCATGCGCGTAACAGGGCTGCGCACGGCCTGCGTGGGTGGAAGGTGCAGCCGAAGCTTTCAGACGGGGTCGCCACTAGGTGGTGTGATATGTTGGAAAACATGCACTGTACAGAGGAGGCGAGGGATGCCCCTGTGCTCCATGCCCCTGTAATCAGGTAAGAATGGTCTCAATCCCTTGAGCCCGAGTACAGAGGAGGCGAGGGATGCCCCCTGTGCTCCATGCCCCTGTAATCAGGTGAGAATGGTCTCAATCCCTTGAGCCCGAGGAAATATCTCACCCCCAAACATTACTGCGGACTTGTTTGTTGGAGAACTGCCGCATTTACGAGAATTGTCATCCCTGGCACCTCTGCGAGTCAGAGCTGAGTTGGAGGCGATAATGAGACTTTCACTCCCCTCCCACATCCTGTCCGAGGCGAGGCCCATGGGTGCCACCTGCACTTCGGCTGCCGCACGATCACCGGGAAAAAAGTGCGATGCTATTGACCAAGAATGCTGCGTGGATAGGAAACCGCCAGCACATGGTCACTCCCGCATTTCCGGCGCCTTGAGATTCCCTGTGATTGGTTTGCTGGGCTTGGCGGGCGGCCATCACGCCTTACTATCCGTCAGTTGGGACCTTCTCCCCCCCAAAACATCCGCGTCCTGTTTGTCTGACCCAAATATACCCCTGGACGAGACGGGTGAGGCAGGCCGGGGTCTGCCGAAGCCCGTTCTGGGAGGTCACTTCCTTGAGTGACAGCCGGCAGTGAGAGCGCATACCTGCCGCCTCTGCCGCGCCTCTGCAGGTGTAGAGTGTGCGCAAGTGTGTGTGGTTGTGGACTTACGGTGCGCTGAGATCTGCCACATCAACAGCAGGTGAGATGTGACTTATCACACGGCATCGAGTGATTCATATCATACTAGAGTGATGTGCTGGAAAATACCGACAGGACGTTTTGCCTTTATTCCTCCGCGCCATAAAATCCTCGCCATACGTTTTTTCCGCTGACGAATTGATGGGAGCGCACTGAGCAGGCAATTTAGGTGTCCCCCATAGCCATTGAAGGCTGAAGGAAAAATGATGTTAGTTGGTAGATACTGATTCTATAAATAACACATTACACAAAGGACAGGTTGATAACCACGCGGGTTCATCACGTTCGTATGCCGTGCATATACTAAAGTAATTGCTAAACACAAAAAGAACGGCAACATGCTGCCATGTTGGTTGAACAGTGAGGTGTGAAAAGCATGGTAGTGGCCGCACCCACTTCAAGACAAGGTTAAGTCGGCCCTCACACTACAGAAAAATGTCCGTTCCAGCTGCGTTGCCACACCAACTGTTCTCCAAGATCTCGATCTCCGCCCAAGAGCGCTAGCGTCATGAGTGCGAATGCCTGCGTCATCTTGCTGTCAAACACGTGTTCACATCCTGATGCACATTCAACTTTCACTCTTTGTGTTGCCCTGGACTGGGCAATGAAACGACTCGGCGGTAGCGTGCCGTTGTTTTGTATTGATTTGTAACGCTTGATGCAGAGATGGGTGAGACGTGAGTGGTGTGGTCGATCTAGACAGGATGTTAAATTGTTTCCATTTTCTGATCAGTCCACATGTGGCTCCGTTCCAGCATGACGCCGTTTCACCTGCTGCCACTTCTTTGTGGCTGCCTCCGCGGTCCAAGTACCGTCATCAAGCATCTCAGTGGCGTCATCTAACCCACCAGTGATGTCATCCACAATACCAGTAACGTCACCGCCGGCTATCAGGGGCCCGCCGACGGAGGAGAGCACGGCCGACTCCCTGTTTGGATCAGTGGCCAGTCTGCTGTTGCGCGGGATCGCCGTGGCGGTCAGCCGCGCCCGCCAGTCCAATGTGACGTCACCTGACGACCGAGTGACACCGCCGGCCCAACTGGTGACGTCAGCGGCTCACCTGTACGACAAGCTGACCTCGCTCGTCGACCAGCTGCGACCGGCGCTTGCCGAGGCCCTCCACGGCGGACTGAGCAACACTAGCCCAATCGAGCCCCGTCGTGACGTCAGAACGCGGCGTGACGTCACGAGTCGGAGTGCGTCTCGATCCGGTCGGGTGCTGGGCATCTTCAAGCCGAAGCCGCCGCCGCCGCCGCCGCGCTTCCCTCCGGCGTACCCGCCGTACGCCAGTCCAGGCTATGCGAAAGCCGCACCCGCTCTCGACAGTGGCGCTGCCGGCGGCGCTCAGGTGTACTACGACTACTCCAGGCTCCGCAACGACGTGTCATACTACTCGTCTGTGCTGGAGGTCGTGTTCACGCTGATGCTGGCGTTGTTCGGCGTGCTGCTCGTGCCAGTGCTGGTGCCGGTGTTCACCTCTCTGGTGGCACCCAATCTCCTCGCCGACCTCCTTGACAAGCTGACCGAGGTGAAAATGTAGCTATAGACCACTGGACGCCGCCAGAGACCAGCCTCAGTCACAGACCCTGCCTTCAGTGACCAATGAGAATGGTAGTGTTTTGCGTTTCGGCAACACAACTGGCGAGAGGCACTCCATGGCGAAGGGGGGGGGGGACTAGAGCGTCCCTCCCGACCGCTCGGCGCATCTTGTCTTACGCATGAACTGGCCGGGGCGAACAACACCGGAGCGTGGTCAGACATGACCACCATCGTCCCGACGTCACCGGACGTCCAAAAGCCAATTCCACGGCCGGCGTGATCAAAGGGCGACATACACCGCAGGTGGCAGCTTCGGCGGAAAATAACCCACAAGCCGGAGGATACAACCAACCACGGACGAGACGGTGTCGTCGCCACCAACCGGGACAGCTAGTTCATGCGTGCCGCTGACAGCGGTGCGGCAGCGAGCGTCAGTAGAGTACGGTGACAAAACTTTCGGCATCGCTACCGAGTCGCCAATGAAATGTCTGCCTCTGGACGGTTCCAGTTCCGCCATTCAGCAGGTCAGCAGGCGCCCTAGGACGCACCGATGTTGACATATGACAAAGGAGTGTAGCCAAGCCACCGATCCGCTGACTAGCGCGGATCTGGACAGTGACGAGAACGGCAAGGTTTACGTTTGTGAGCAGTGTTTGCATGTATACAAGACGAATACAGAGCAGAAGACAGAGAGATGCCCGGAGCTCTAGAAGTGGCAGCGTCCCAGCACGGCCGGCCTTTCCGGTAACGGACGGCCCGGCTGATGAATCCCCGCGCGCCAGGCACGCAGCGAAGCAGGTGCGGTGTTTGTGGTTCTCAAACTAGGCAGACACGAGCACGCCATGACGCACGACGCGCGCGTATGACTCACGGGTTTGGAGCTCCAGTTACGCGTTAGCTTCGCTCCATTTCGACCGCGTGTATTTGGATCCTCTTATCCCTTACTATCAGAGATATGCATCGGCATGCCCGTGAGAAGCCCATTACCGCTTGAGTCAGGGGCGCCATCCATTCACCGCTGCATTTCTCAGCATTTTATAAATACCGTAGTATGGCATAGTGAAGCTCAGGACATCCACGGGCCGCTCCGACCTCTGGGCCCCACAGACCGAGTACGAGCACGGTCGCGGCTCCACCGACGCGGCTGGTCTCCACGGCGCCCGCGCAGTCCCAGCTCCATATTACACGGATCAAGTCACCCACTATTGCACGGTCATTCGTTAACCACGCGAGCACGTGGCACCATTTCAGCATGCAGTCAAATTTCAGTTGCAATTTTCTTGGTGGGAGTTGACTTTATTGGTGGGATCTGAGAATGCTACTAGCACCACTCCGCAACTTTTATCTCAACAGCGCGGAAAGGCATTGGCTTAACGCAGCATCACTTGCGTGGTATCAACCCTCCAATGTGCTCCGCACAGCCCGCGACACCAGAGCGCCGCCCACCTTCCAGACCCGCTAGGTCAGCTGGCGTACTGTCAGTCGTTTATTCGGTCGCCGGTAGCGGGGCACCTGGCCGGGCTGGGCCGGATCGGCGCCTTGGTCAGTCTTCACGGGAGAAGGACACGGGGCGGCCCCGCGCCCCGGCCAATCAACAAAAGCATGCACAACCAAATAGGAACTTTTCCGGCCGGCGGGTCGGTGACCCCAGGTCCGGGTCGGTGGGCCCGAGGGGCGGGAGCGCGCGCGAGTATACCTGACACCCGCCGGCCGGCGCGCTACAACCAACAGAGCGTGCGTGATATGAGGTCATACAGAGGTCCACGTCGGACTCAGGCCCGGCGCCATGGACGGGTAGCCGTGACGTCACCGACTCACGGGCCGGTGACGTCACAAGCGCGCCTGCGCGCCAGAACCGAGAACACAGGCCGGGCGGTCCGGCCGTGGGAGAAGGCGCGGAAGGAAGCCTACGGTTGAATGAGCGAGGCCCGACCTGTGGGGCGGCGGACATTGAGTTCCGACACCACAGCTACCCGCCGGGCTCTAGCCGGCAGCGCGCCGCACCACTGCCATCTGCCGGCCACACCCAGCGACAGCCACCTAGCGACAGACTATACAGGACACTAGCGCCAGCAGTGACTGGGCACCCCTGCCCACCACGTACCGGCGCCGATTACACCGACGGTCGGGCGCGGAGTCCGGCCGCGCCCAATTACCAAACCGCGGCCACCCGTCGGTCTCACCATCCCACATTGGCAACACCAGGGACACAGCACGTCCGCGACATCTAGCGGCTGACCCGGACATCACAGCTTTTTTCGCGGCCGACAGGCGACGGAACACTGGAGAACGGCTTACTTGAGCGCTGCTGCCGACGCCGACGCCGTCCGAGCCGCAGGGGACAGTCGGAGGGACGGAGCGCGCACGTGCTCCGAACACAGTGCACGCTAATCAACGGCGGGATTTCAACACAAACGATGAAAGAGAAACCAATCTGGCAGTGCAAACAGATACAACTGAAGTTGATACTATAGTGTCCTGAGGTGTTGAAGCAAAACAACGGTCGTTGCCCTATAGGTACAGCAACACAATTTCCACCACAGATCGGCGCAAACTAGGTGGACACAAACACCTAGCCCAACTGGCTTCCCGTCGGGGACACCGCCACCAACGCTGGAATAGGCCGAGTCCCGTGACAAGCCGGAGCGGTATGCCTGTCCCGCCCCAGCGCTGACAAGCGACCACGTATCACATAAAATAGATCACAAGACACGCAGAGTACAATTAATTACACGATTTTTGATTGGTTTGCGCAAACAAATGGTACAAAGTGTGGCCGGCGCGCACGCAGCGGCGGAGGCGGCGGCGGAGGAGAAGAAGGACGAAAGCTCGCGGCTCGAAGCCCACATGCCGGAGACTCATTCATAGCTGTACTCCAGCCGGTGTTTGTGGTAGAACAGCAGGTACCTGGCGGGCAAGACGCATGCTCAGGTCGCCGGCTATCCGCATGGATGAATAACAGTGCATCGGTCAGCATGAGCGCACGTAAGTAAGCGTCAGTGAGCCCCGGCCCGTCTACTGACCCCTCACTGTTGAGCACGTCTGGAAGGGTGGTCCGTCTACTGAGCGCTCACTGTTGAGCACGTCTGGAAGGGTGGCCCGTCTACTGACCCCTCACTGTTGGGCACGTCTGGAAGGGTGGTCCGCCTACTGACCCCTCACTGTTGAGCACGTCTGGAAGCGTGGTCCGTCTACTGACCCCTCACTGTTGGGCACGTCTGGAAGGGTAGTCCGTCTACTGACCCCTCACTGTTGAGCACGTCTGAAAGGGTGGTCCGTCTAATGACCCCTACCCCCCCCCCCCTCACTGTTGAGCACGTCTGGAAGGGTGGTCCGTCTACTGACCCCTCACTGTTGAGCACGTCTGGAAGGGTGGCCCGTCTACTGACCCCTCACTGTTGGGCACGTCTGGAAGGGTGGTCCGTCTACTGACCCCTCACTGTTGAGCACGTCTGGAAGGGTGGTCCGTCTAATGACCCCTAACCCCCCCCCCTCACTGTTGAGCACGTCTGGAAGGGTGGTCCGTCTACTGACCCCTCACTGTTGAGCACGTCTGGAACGGTGGCCCGTCTACTGACCCCTCACTGTTGGGCACGTCTGGAAGGGTGGTCCGTCTAATGACCCCTACCCCCCCTCACTGTTGAGCACGTCTGGAAGGGTGGTCCGTCTACTGACCCCTCACTGTTGGGCACGTCTGGAAGGGTGGTCCGTCTAATGACCCCCCCCCCCTCACTGTTGAGCACGTCTGGAGGGTGGCCCGTCTACTGACCACTCACTGTTGAGCACGTCTCGCAGGGTGGCCCGTCTACTGACCCCTCACTGTTGAGCACGTCTCGCAGGGTGGCCCGTCTACTGACCCCTCACTGTTGAGCACGTCTCGCAGGGTGGCCCGTCTACTGACCCCTCACTGTTGAGCACGTCTCGCAGGGTGGCCCGCGTGATGACATGGTCGTCACACTTGAACCAGTTGTCGCGGTGCTGCCGGATGTACACGATGTAGTGGCCGGCCTCCAGGGTGCCGATATGGTTCACCACGGCGTACAGCGAGTACCTGCGCACACCACAGGCAGTCACGTGGCACCCGGCCGCGTGAACACACCAGTCACGTGACATCCGGCCGCGTGAACACATCAGTCACGTGACACCCGTCTACGCGAACACACCAGTCACGTGACACCGCGCGCCATTGGGGCTTTACGACGCACTCAGCTACTGAGGCTATATGGCGTCACCTGCCTCTCACCCTGGCAGGAAGGGCGGGCACCGCGGGGAATCGAACCCCGTACCTCTGGTTTCCCAGACGCGCAGTGGTTAACGAGTCACGTGACACCGAGCCGCGTGACCACGCCAGTCACGTGACACCCGTGAACACACCAGTCGTGTGACAGATGATCAGATGTCAGAGCAGAGCGGAGCCCCAGAGACCAAGCTGGCCGGGCGGCCGCGGGCGGCGCCCCACTCACAGGTTGTTGTTGAACACACGCTCCGGGCGGAAGTTGTTGTTGTTGCGGCAGCGCGAGAGGTAGGGCGTCATGTCCAGCTCCTCCGGGAAGCGCACCACCGTCGATATCTTCTTCCGGAGCCGGCTGGTGTGCTCGAACCGCTGCCGGTCCAGGCGGCGGCGGCCGCGTCAGGCGGCGGCAACGGCGGCCCACGCGCTCCCGCGGCCAACAGACTCGGGCGGTCGCTGCGGTGATGAGCTCACGCTCGAGGCGCGCCGCATCCGACGCCTCCTGACACCAGCATAATGCCGACACATGGTCGGCTTTGGTCAAATGATAAGCGCCGTTCGAAATCCGACGAAGACCCACACACCATGTCCTAATTCTCCATGGGCGCGCGAGATGTGCGCTTACAATGGCGTTCATGTGGCAGCGCATCGCCTGCAAGGCGACGCGCATACGCCTGGACTGCCCGAACCAGCGGCTATATCCCTGGTCTCAAGTAAGCGCTAGCACAAGAGCCTGGCAACGGCGGGCAATGGCGTAGCCAGCAACCATCCAGAGGGCGACTGGCCAGGTTGGGACGTTCGCCCTACACACCCAAGACGCGTAGACCACTGGTCCAGCCATGGTAACCAGGTGTATCTGCATCGGCCGCGAGTGCCCAGCAATGCGGACTGCACCCGTTACCATGACGACCAGCAGGACCGGCTCATCTGTGCTGCTTTTCCACGCACGAAGAATGGCTAGCTCTCTTTGAAGAAAAAAATCGGCGAGATTGGGAAGGTACCCAGGAGCCACCAGCCGACCAGCTTTGGTGACCAGCTCTGGCGTGGCTGAAGGCGCACTGCCAGGCGGAGCTGGTACCCGAGAGTGGCGCCACGGAAGGCAGGTGTTAGGCGGAGCTGGTACCCGAGAGTGGCGCCACGGAAGGTAGCTGCGAGGCGGGGCTGGTATCCGAGAGTGGCGCCACGGAAGGTAGGTGCTAGGCGGAGCTGGTACCCGAGAGAGGCGCCACGGAAGGTAGCTGCGAGGCGAGGCTGGTATCCGAGAGTCGCGCCACGGAAGGTAGGTGCTAGGCGGAGCTGGTACCCGAGAGAGGCGCCACGGAAGGTAGCTGCGAGGCGAGGCTGGTATCCGAGAGTCGCGCCACGGAAGGTAAGTGCTAGGCGGGGCTGGTACCCGAGAGTGGCGCCACGGAAGGTAGGTGCCAGGCGGGGCTGGTACCCGAGAGTGGCGCCACGGAAGCTCGGGGTCCGGCGCGACGGGCGACGGGCGGCAGACCGGAGCCTCCGCGGCTGCCCGGCCCGGCAGGCCAGCGGGGCCACACCCTACCTTGAGGTGGAAGCTGGCCACGATCGGCAGCTCCTTCATGGTCAGCTGTTTGGTAGACTCCTGGTAGCTGTCGCAGGTGGCGCACTTGATTTTGGCGGCGCTCCCTGCGGCCCACGCAGGGATATTGATGTGGAGAGGCATCCACACAGAGACAGATCAACTGCATTATCACACCGCCGTGGAACACCGCCATCAGCACACACGCCCATGTTGCTACCGTTTTTTTGCTCCCAACTTGAAATGAATCATCGTCAGGTGGGAAGAACTGGTCACACAAATGCCAGCTGGTTTGACAGAGTTGGATGTTGCATCTAGGTGTGCCTGGCAAGTGGTCGTTCAAGGTATGGAGCGGTGCTGGTCGGGTATGGGGGGGGGGGGGGAGGGGCAGTGCTCCTGGCGGGTGAACTACTCCGGGCAGTCCTCCAGGGTAGAGGGGGAGGGGGCTCACCCAGGTGCTCCTGGCGGGTGAACTATTCCGGGCAGTCCTCCAAGGTAGAGGGGGAGGGGCTCACCCAGGTGCTCCTGGCGGGTGAACTGCTCCAGGCAGTCCTCCAGGGTACAGGGGGAGGGGGCTCACCCAGGTGCTCCTGGCGGGTGAACTGCTCCAGGCAGTCCTCCAGGGTGGTGGGAGACGACTGGTTCATCTCTAGAGGCGTCAGATCCAGCGATATGTCCCAGAAGGGATCGATTGTCGTCGACACGTTGCTGGAAGCACGCTCCCCTGGATGAGACGCTCGCACCACATGCATGAAACCGCACGCACTGGTGTCGACATCACGCCAAATCAAACGGAACATCTGGCAGCATTACGCCAGTGACAGGGATTGTGACGGCAGCTTCTTTAAATGAGAACTTGTCACGCGTTATGAGCTGTTTCCAAGGGACACATGACGTTAATATTAAGTGAGACATAACCACTCACAGTCCGACAACACGTCAATGCTAAGGCAATACTAATAACAAGACAATCACATGAGATCCGGGCGGAACATTTGTCAGTACCCGCGGCTAACACATAACCCGTGACCTAGTCCATGTTTGGCTGGTGCACGAACCACAACTCTCGACCAATCGCTCAACCGAAGGCGAACTGCTGCTCCGCGCGACACTGGCCTGCCGCCGACCCTTCACAGGTGACTCTTCTAACGGACTCACTCAAAGACGGAGCGCGGCACCCGCTCCCAGCCGACGCGCAACTCCCACCGACTCGCCCTCAGTCGAGTCGAGGACTCCTGACTCTGCGGTGCTTACTTGCAGCTGAGGCAGACCACGTCGCTCTGCAGGCCGCCCGTAAAGATGGTGTCGATGATGCACCGACAGCCGTTGGCGTCGCCGCCCTCTTCGCTGCGCTTCTGGAACGGCTTCATCTGCTGGTGCAGCAGGTCCAGGATCGCCATGAAGAACTCGTGAGCGTCCTGCCAGTGGGGAGGGGGAGGGGCGTCAGCCATGGCTGCAGCCAGAGCTGGGCCTGGCCCACGCAGCCAGCCCCGCCAGCCATCGTCGCCTCTCGCGAACAGGAGCCAGACAACACCGCTCGCCAGCAGAAGCCACTCTGTCGCTAGAGCGACTGTCAAGCCGTGGCCAGCTCAGGAGTCCCGCGGAAGGCACAGGATACTGCCCGGGGCGCAGCCCGACCCAGGCCCGTCTCAGCCGCCGACGGGTACACACCTGCTGCTCGTATCCAGCCAGGTGTTTGGCGCTGGTCCAGATCATGTGCAGCAGACGCGTGGGGGCCAGCGCCGTCCGCTGGCCGCCGTATAACTGCCGAGGTCACATCAGGTCAGCGCGCGCACACGCAGGGGCACGGCGCACGGTCTGCGGCGCCGTCACCGGTGCTCGGCACCAGCGGGTCCGACCGCCCCGGCTCCTAACGCGGCCCATCCGGTGCCTCCAGACGGGTCAGCGCTCCAGGAGACCCAACGCCGGACACGGCACGGGGCGGGAGGTGTGAGGAGCGAGGGCGAGGCCGCACGAGGGGGGAGGGGGGGGGGGGGGGCGGGGGCGCCGCAGCCCCGCCGCGCCACAGGCCCCAGCGAGCGCTCCTGACTCGGTCGCCGCTGTCGACACGAGTCACGGGCAGCGGCCTCGGCGCGCTGGGCCCGCGCTGGCCACCAGCACGCCGCGCTGTCCCCACCCGTCCAGTGACTCACGGCCCCTGCCACGCACCCGACTACGAGTCAAGGTCGCTCTTGAGTCACGACGCTTGCCCAGCAGCTGTCGGTTCAGCCAGCCCCTCCCCCGTCCCAGCACCCATGATACATACACAAAGCCGCCGCCACGCCCCCTCCTAATAGAAAAAGAGCACCTTCACCCACCTCTTCCAAGACAGACATCCCACCCGACCAGGCGACAGTCCAGCCACACCACTCCCACCACTCTCCAACGCTACTCCAAGCACCTGAAACCTACCATTCCGCTCCCCCCCCCCCCCCCCCTGCCGAATCGACAGCCAACTCGTCACAAGATCGGCGCCCGCTTGCCACCAGGCCCTGAGGTCCGCGGCCGCCGGCGCGGCGCTCGGCCCGACCTGTTGGAAAAGACTGTTGATCTGGCACGCCAGGCAGCGGTCCGGGTCCGGTGCCAAGCACAGGTGCTTGTCGCTGAGGAAGTAGTCGCGCAGCATGGGCGTGTGCGTGAGCGCCTGCAGGATCGTCGACATGAAGCAGGTGTTGCCCAGGTTGATCATGCCGCGGAGACCTGCCGGCAGTGGCAGCCACGTCAGCCGGCGAGGCGGAGACGAGTGGGGCGGGGAGGCGGAGACGAGCGGGAGCGAGGAGGCAGAGACGAGCAGGGGCGGCGGGGAGACGAGCGGGGCGGCGAGGCGGAGACCAGCAGGGGCGGGGAGGCAGAGACGAGCAGAGGCGGCGAGGCGGAGACGAGCGGGCCGACGAGGCGGAGACGAGCGGGACGGCGAGGCGGAGACCAGCAGGAGCGGGGAGGCAGAGACGAGCAGAGGCGGCGGGGAGACGAGCAAGGGCGACGAGGCGGAGACGAGCGGGCCGGCGAGGCGGAGACGAGCGGGACGGCGAGGCGGAAACCAGCAGGGGCGGGGAGGCAGAGACGAGCAAGGCCGGCGAGGCGGAGACCAGCAGGGGCGGCGAGGCGGAGACGAGCGGGACGGCGAGGCGGAGACCAGCAGGGGCGGGGAGGCAGAGACGAGCAAGGCCGGCGAGGCGGAGACCAGCAGGGGCGGGGAGGCAGAGACGAGCGAGGCCGGCGAGGCGGAGACGAGCGGGGCGGATGGAGAGGTGACGAAAGGGAGCGGGGAGCAAGGAGACCAACAAGAGCGTGAAAGCGGAGACGGACGGGGGCCGGGCGGCGGACATGAGCGAGGGCGGGGAGGTGAAGACGGTCGGGAGCGGAGAGCAAGCAGACGTGAGGGAGAGGGGGACAAGGAGACACAAAGAAGCGGGAAGCAGGGAAGAAGCATCGGAAGGGAGGAAACGATGAAACGTGAAAGGCCTCACAGAATGGAGAAGTTGCGTGAAAGGGCAGAACAGGGATACGCCGAGCGGGAAGGGCAATGGACCCGATCCGCCCGGCGAGGATAGTGGAAGACGAGTAACATGGAGTTTGGCCCAGAGGTGGGCGAAGGGTTGCAGGACAGAGCTATGAGAAACGGCGAAAGAAAAGGCGTGATACACAGATGGAGTGGAAAGGGGCGCAGCTTAAGAGACAAAGAAGCAAGAAGCGAGAGAAGGGGGGAAGGCACGGATGTGCCTTTCGAGTGCCCACTGAGCACTCTACGATCGGCGAGGAACGGTGCGTTAAATCACGCTCCTTCACACACGCTGCCGTCCGTGCGCGGCGTGTCGCGTCGCGCAGTGGTCACGGTGGCCGCCTTCCCGTTCTCTTGGCCCTCCCGTCAGCAGCGTGCGTCCGCCGTCAACGCTTCAGAGCGCCAACTGCCAGACGTTCGAGCCGTACAGACGGCCCAACAGGGGTCGCCACAGTACTGTTCCACCCATTGTCAAACCGTTTTCACGCAAGCGTATCATAGGAAGTGTGCTAAGTGCAACAAGGAGTGGGAAAGCCCTGTACATGAAACAGCAAAATCTTAAACTGAGTGGAATAGCCGACAATACGCATGCAGCACATATCTGGAAATTGCGAGCTTGCTACGAAAAGATCAGCGCCGGTGTTTGCGCGAGCAATGACGCAGAGTTGAGCCCTGGCCTGTAGCTGAATCACCAACACGCGCTGGTCTGCGGCGGCGACGCTCTGCTGACCTGGCGCGGCACTGAACTGGCCCCAGGCTTCAGCACTGACCTATGGTGGAGTTGGCAGTGACCTTGCGTCTGTCCGTGTGGTACTTGAGCAGCTCGATCTCCTCGGGGCACGGCTCCCAAGAGTTGTCGGCTGGGATGCCTGTCGACACCACGCACGTTACGTGACAAAACCCGGCGCGAGCGACGTCACATAGACGTCACCCGTGACGTCTATTTCGACGTCACACGTCACATAGACGCGCTGCCGTCACACGGGACAGCAGCGCGTCTATAACGCGTCACGAACGTGACGGCGTCACAGGCCGGCGGCCTGTTCTGCAAGACACGGGACGTCACGTCGGCCGGAGTACCCGGAAACGTCACGCGTCACGGGTCACGTCACATCTGCCGGCCTCTCTGGGAGCGCGGCACAAGTGATGTCACACCCGGGGAGACACATGAAGCACGTGACCAGACGGGGGCCCCACCGGACTGGCGAGTGAGACACACAACTAGAGACGAGCGCCAGGACGCTACCGAGGCGGCGCGTCGGCCACTAAGCGACGTCGTGGCATATCCGTGGTGCCCGGACATAGAATAATTCACACATGCTGCGAACATGACCGGAGAGGATCGGACAACGGACGCTTGTCGCAGGTACGCGACCAACCAGCGTTCAGGGGATAGTCCTCTCGCTTCTTGTGCAGTGTTTCCCGAGTGTGCCAAAAAAACAATGCCATTCAGCGTAACTGCTCCTGGGAAAGACACCATTCAGCGCGACTGCTCCTGGGAAAGACACCGGCCCGAGAACCAATTCAGTTCAGCATCAGGAGTAACAGAACCAGGCTGTGAATCACAGTCGCTGAATCATTCGCCCGGCCTCAGATATCATGGTAGCGTAGCGGTTTTTCCCCGGAGTGCTCACCTGGTGCTCAGTGGCGCAGCGGACCCAGAGTCGTGCGAAACACTGAGAATCTCTGGTGAAATCAGAAGTGTTTAGGTTGGAAGACCAAACGAACCAGGCCTCGATCATGATGGGTAAACATAATGTCTTTTCCGTCTCATTGCCTCAACACCAATGGCCAAATCGAAGCATGAGTCGTGTACCTGACCAGCGAGAACAACTTGTCATCCCGCTCTCATCTGGCCCCCTGGCGGCCGTGTGGCGCTGGCACCGGTCCATTGTTCCCCTCTGAGCGTCGGACCGGCCACCACGCGTCCGCAGGTGGCACGGGCGCCACGCCGCGGTCTCTCGCGGACTCCGTCCAGAGCCGGTCAAGAGTTCTCCGCAGAGCCACGCGCTGCGGCGAACTCAGGACCGGGCCGGCCACCATGCGTCCGCAGGTGGCACGGGCGCCATGCAGCGGTCTCTCGCGGACCCCGTCCAGAGCCGACCTGAGATTTCCGCGGAGCCACGCGCTCAGTGAGCAGCCTGCAGCGAGGCGACACACACCAGCGCGCCGTACCGACGGCTGTCCACACCGGTTTAGCTTGCCTGTACGGCTGGTTGGTCTCGAGGTCAGTGAACCCCGTCACGCCCCGAACAACCCTCTTTGTGTTTACGGAAATCCTCGCCCGGCATGCCATTTGTATGAGCATATACAACTGAGTCAGCCGTGCATCTGTTCGCTACATCCGGATGCAACAGTGCATACGAGTATGGTATGTGGAGTGACGTTATCTAGATCGAGACATCAGCCTGGCGACCACCACACTGAGCCGGTCTGCAGTGGGCTGCGATAGTCAGATCTAATCGCGCTCCTTTAGCAGTCCCAGGAACGGCCCGGCTGACAGACCGTCCAACGGGCCGACCCTGAGTCAGGAGCGGGAGGACAGGCGGGGTGGGGAGAGCCCCGGAGGACAGGCGGGGCGGGGCAAGCCCCGGAGGACAGGCGGGGTGGGGCAAGCCCCGGAGGACAGGCGGGATGAGACCGGCCCCGGAGGACAGGCGGGGTGGGGCAAGCCCCGGAGGACAGGCAGGGTGGGGCAAGCCCCGGAGGACAGGCGGGGTGGGGCAAGCCCCGGAGGACAGGCGGGATGAGACCGGCCCCGGAGGACAGGCGGGATGAGACCGGCCCCGGAGGACAGGCGGGGTGGGGCAAGCCCCGGAGGACAGGCGGGGTGGAGCAAGCCCCGGAGGACAGGCGGGGTGGGGCAAGCCCCGGAGGACAGGCGGGGTGGGGCAAGCCCCGGAGGACAAGCTGAGGTGGGGCCAGCCCCGGAGGACAGGCCGTTCCGGGTCCAGCTTGCGTGTAACCCCTTCAAACCCGTAACGCGGGCACGCGCCCGCCGCGGTCCAACACGCGCTGGCCGCCGCTCCGCTCCAACCTTCCTCGGAGCGTCGGGTTTAGACCCGGCTGCCGCCTAAAGCTGACACACTGCGCATAACGCTAGTGTGGCGGGCCCTGACGCCGGCGGTCGAGAGAGACTCTCGCGTTCAGGGTCGGCCGTGACAGCGCTCCTGGCACCTCCGTGGGCCGCGCCAGCCGACCTTCGGACGGCACCGGTCCGGCGCGGCGTCACCGATCAGCTGTCGCCGTGTGACGTCACACGGCCCCGGGGCACGCCCGTTAACTGCGCTGCCACACGGCCGGCGCACGCGCATGACTGCCCACAGGTGTGCGTGCCACACGCAGCGACAAGCGCGCCCTCCTCCTCCCCCCCGCTTGACCCTGACCTTGAGCGTGGCCAACGGCCGGAAGCGCGGCGGCGTCGCGCGTCAGCTGACGGGCCGCGGCATTCTGGGTAGTCAGCTGTGACCGCGCGGCGTCAGCTGATCGACCGGGCCGCGTCCTCCCGGAGCACGCAGTGGACGCGTAGTCTGCCGCGATCGTTATCACATCGAGCGGCGCAGGGCACCGCCCGGGGCGTGCCGGCGGCGGCGGCGGCGCGCGCAGAGGCGCCGCCGCCGCACGTCACTGCGCCCGCGAGATCTCCGCCGGCTAAATAGCGCCGCCAAACGTCGCACCCCGGCGCCGGAGGCCACGCCGGCGGCGAGGCGCGCTGCCCGCGAGTGAGCCCCGCCTGGCACGGCCGGGGTAGCGTCCGTCGCGACACCGGCGTCGGGGCGGGGCGGGGCAGGCCAGGGCGGAGCGGGCCGCGTCGGGCGTGCTCGCCGCGCACGGGGATGACAGGAGCGGTGCCGGACAGGAGCGCTGCCAGGACGCCGCTGCTCAGGGCGACGCCAGCGGCCTTGGCGGGAGCCGATCGGAGCCGAGGCCACGCGAGGCCCGGCACCGAGTCGCGCCGACCGGCCCGGCCGCGCGCCTGAGTCATCGCCGGCCTCACGTGAACGGCACGTGACCGCCGCACCGACCAATGAGCGGCCCCCGCCGGGAGGTGTGGCCAGGGCCGTGGTGACCCATCCGCGAAGTCCCACAAGGAAACAGGGCGTGTCTTCCGCCCAGCCACGGAATCAACGCGCTTCTTCCACAGGTGTTTGCACCAGCGGAGCACAGAAAGTCGATACGCGCCCTCCGCGCAGCGACCGGCACAGCTGGTGCTGGTCCTCAGCGAAGAGCCCGGTCGGGCACACGAGGAGCACTCAGGGCGTCCTCTACATATGGTACTGTCGGGGGAAGACAACCAACCGAGAAGCACTATGACCTCTGCTGCGGATGACGTCGACAGAGAACGGGTCCGAGATGACCATCGGCACACTTAAAAAGCGATGTGACGCAAACAAAGCAGTCCAGAAAAGGCGATGTTAAGGATTATTCTAATCCTGACAACAGTCGCTAAATACATCAACTTTTGCACCAGGGCAGGTAAATTCGGACCATCACAAATAACAGTACTCGGGGTAAAGCCGGGTTTCGTTGCACCGACTAGTATTATTGGTTAGCTCCAACTAAGATCAGAGGCACATCCCCTGTGTTCGAGACACAACCACTGCGGGTTGAAATCCGACTGAGGATGTCCATGTATGCCCCAAAGGCACGCGATGTCCACTGTAGGCCACCTCGCCATGATCTTAAGGCGCTTTAAAGAGACTGCATCTACCAAGAACGCGGCGTTACGTTCTAGTTGCACAGCGGTGACTACAAAACCTTCGCTCCGCGAAATATCTGACACCTGAGCCCGGCACACACGTTGACTCCGCCTCCGACGCTGATTCTGACACCGACTACCGCTCTGACCACAGGCCATGAGACTATCTCGTGACGATACTGCAGCTCCCCCAAGGCGTCTCGGCCACAGGCCATAAGACTATCTCGTGACGATACTGCAGCTCCCCCGAGGCGTCCCGGCCACAGGCCATAAGACTATCTCGTGACGATACTGCAGCTCCCCCGAGGCGTCTCGGCCACAGGCCATAAGACTATCTCGTGACGATACTGCAGCTCCCCCGAGGCGTCTCGGCCACAGGCCATAAGACTATCTCGTGACGATACTGCAGCTCCCCCGGTACTGACGATACTGATCGTGACGATACTGCAGCTCCCCCGATGCGTCTCAGCCATAGGCCATGAGACTATCGCGACGATACTGCAGCTCCCCCGATGCGTCTCGGAAGTCCTTTATTTTTGAACGCGCAATCACTTATTCAGCAATGCCACCTCGAACGGCGTGTGGGAGCGGGTGCAGGAGCGGGTGCAGTGACCGAGTGGGTAGGACTGAGGGCGACCGCCTGCGGGCCGGTTTCAAATTCCGGTCGCGCTATGGTAGTTGGGCACCAATATGGCCATCACGGTCGCTGACGCCGCAGACAGGAGCGCCACGTGCGACGCACCCACTCACAAAAAGTCACATCTCTCAGAGCAAACCAGCCATCAATATTCCACATGCGATTTAGGTGGTGTGGTCGTGACGAGTTCCCAGACGAGCCCTGATTATTAAACTTGGTCTGCTTCATCAACCAATGTAGTCTTTTCTGAATCATACGAGTGCGTGCCGCGAGCATGACTGTCGTATATCATAGAAAGCATCACGTGTCGGCTGCTGCAGGCAAAGGCGTCCCAGGGATGGTCCGTCGCGAGATAGCCGAGACTGGATGAGAATGAGACCCAGCCATACGGAACAGCTGCCCCCACTGCTGGGCCGTCACGGGCCCGCCACAGCTACACCTGGTGAACGCTGCCGCGTCCCCGACTGCACTCACCCAGCGCCTTGGCCGCCAGCACCTTATTGCGCCGGCAGATCTTGCGCAGTGTCCAGTTGTAGGTGTAGTCGTTGCACTCGAAGCAGTAGACGTAGCCGTGTGTCAGGTCCAGCGCTGTTAGGACGATGGACGTCGTTAGGAGGCGTGGGTCGTCAGCAGGGGTCAGAGCAAGGGTCTTCAATGAAGTGGTCCAGGCAGGGGTGTTCAATGAAAAGGCCATGGTGCACATATTTAAAAGAGAAAGGAGGGACAGTACCAAGCTTTTCAAGAGATAGTCTCATAGTCTCTATTGGTAACCACATGGGCCATGTCAATAACATGGCAGATCCATGCACAGATCTCCAACAATGGATTGCACTGGTCTTTGAATGGGGGAGGGTTCACAGCATTTTTTTTTTTTTGTGGAGGGGGACTGGGCCAGTCATCTGCTACAGACAGGCTGAAAGGCACAGCCAATTCAGGTAGTACAAAGGTTATAAATGCATCCATGCTTAAAGGGATCAGGGAATAGGTCTCAGTGGAGGGGTTCTAGGCACAGCATCAGAGTAGAAGGGTTTTGCTATGCATGCTTAAAGTGTGGGCTAGGGTGTGACCCTCAATGTGCTGACCTACACATCACAGCACATGCACACCTTTGGGAATATATCTTGACATCAATGGGTTTCAGGATAACACCTGAACCAGTGACATGGAGGTACCATGAGTCCAGTCAGGTCAGCAGAATCAACCAGGGTCTTGTTGCCCAAAACACACCTATGACCATGCTTGATAACACCAAATAAGCATAAAACTGTGATGAGATGGCAACCAGCACTTGCTTTAAAAGCAGTAAACCTGCCCAGTATTCCACATAGAGCTAGAATGAACCTTACCTAGCGGGTGATTTCTTTCACTGGCATGTTTGTGGATGTGCTTGGGTTTCAGGCAGCCAAAATAGATGCAGCTCAGACAGGCATGCAGCCGAGGTCCGAACGTGTGACAAACCTGACACATACATGTCAGCGCCTGAAAACCAACGCAAATTGGTGAATATCATGACGAGGTCCAATAATGTTTATGACCCTCTAAATAAAGCACAGTTAGAGTGCAGAATGGGGCATAATACAGGACCACCAACACCTGAAAATATTGCTTAAAATTTAGACTGCTAAAATAATGACATGCAACTTCAAACAAAACCCAGTTAATCAGGAATAATGTTAACTGCCCCATTCAAAGCATAAATTTCAATTGAGCAATATTAAAAGAATGCGGACCAGCTTCATTACTTCAATATAGCAATATTACATGTGAATGCAACACAATAAGTCAAAAAAAAACTTAACACAATAATTCATAAACATCTTTTTTGGAAATTATGCAACCACTGCATTTCAAATGTAATGTTTCTATGCTGACATACAATTTACCAAACAAAATAAAAAAACACCTTAAAATGTGACACAAGTGTGATGCCAGAGTTAACTTGTGATAAAGTGACTGACATTAGTTCTGATACTCAATGTACCAACTCCCTTAGGGTGCATGACACCTGGGTACAAGAAGTTGTCTTGATACAATGGTACAACAGTATTGAGTGAATTAGTGAACATCATGATGTATATATAATGCTCAACAAACTTGTGTAAAAGGCTTGTTATATAAAACACATTCAATGCTTGAAAATGCCCACAAGCACTTATCTCTAGTACACTCATCACAAAGTGAGGACTGAAGCCATCAACCTTGCTCGTCCCCAACAATGTTTAAGTGCACTCACCACATAACACAAACTGGCACAAAACTTAAGCTATTGCAAAACATGCTGCATCAAATGATGCAAATATTAGACACACTTTGTCTCAAACACACAACATCATGGGAATTTATAAGCAAGGCGTAACAGAACACTACCTCACAATGCAGCTGTGGGAAAGCAGCAGGCTAACCACACATAGATCAATGAATAGTGGAAATAGGGAATAAACTGTGCTGAAAAATCATAGGCAAATTACCATACCACTCACACATAGAACTCATGCACAGTTGTAAGCATACCTTTTTCAGTCTGGCTTCTGCGCTTACACAGTTGACAAACCATGAATTTATCAGCTGGTAATCACGAATAACATTACTATCCGCCATTGCCTGTTGCAAATGTGCACATCCCTTGTAGAACATGGCACATGAGAGCGTGCCAATAGGCACCAAGACAGGCGATCGAGATTCGGGGAAAGCAGGGGTGACTGGTCAATTGAAGCAGGGGATGTTCGGAGCGTGGTGTTGTCACGTGTCACAAGTTCTTCAAAATGGACACCGAAACAATTCCCTTGCTTGTGCCAGTCGGCAGGATGTGAGACGGCCCACTTCCCGTCACAATAACCCTGCACCGAAGAAGACACCGACAGCACCCCCGCGAACGACCTCCTCTTGTCGGCGGCGGCGCGCCGGGAAATCTCGCGTCATTTCACACAGCTGATTGGCGCTGGGGAACGATCTACCAGATTTGGACGAGGACTAAACAACTAACCAAACTTGTTGAAGACCTCATGCTCCGAGCCCTTGAGGCCAAATGCTTCCAAACCTTTGCCATTCGAAGTGCCATGGCTGATAACCAGAAGCGCGAGTAAGGAGGTGTGCTTGGGTCATTTCTAGTCAACAAAGTACCTAAACTGGAAAAATTGGCTACATTCGATCCCACGCTCCCTGCCTTTATAGGACAGCATGGACGTAAGATCGTTTCAAAAGTGGGTGAAAAGGTAGGGGGTTCCAGGAGTCCAAAGATAGTGGGTCCAGCTGCCCAAATGCCCGTGAGAAGGCTCCTCGGCTCGCGCAACGCGATTAAAAAGTGGCCACACTGAATGGGAAACTCGCAAAAAATTATTATTTGTAAAATAAAAGTTTCGACAACGATTTGCCCTCTCTGGATGCTCGATTAGCCACACTTCGAGAGCCCGCTACCCTTCTGGCCGTTCAGAGTGCCCTTTCCGGCCATCACGGTCACTAACAGTGTACACCTGGCATCATAGGCGCAGAAACGTTTCAAAAAGTATGCGGCAGGCTCAAGATATGGTTCAGAATTTTTTCCGGGAAGCAAGCCCGGTGACGGGTTGGGGTGGGGGTGGGGGTGGGGATAGATATGGAGGTTATTGTCCGCTCCTAACTCACACAAGAGATTTTGGAACTAATGAAATGCCGTGGTTGCTATACTAGATATACACCTACAGCTGTCTCCACACTGGCGCACAATCTTACCTATTCGACCCATTTAAGTCATACGGCAAATAAGGTTATCAGGCTTCCCAAGATCATTCTTCCATTTCAGCATTGTTTTCCCTGGGAAGGCGAAATTCTCCGAGCGGTTAGACATTTTAGGTGATTGAGGAGGCGCCTGCCCCCACAGGGTAGATACCAAAATACAACCCGGACGTAGACTCACGTAGACGTCAGAATATTGGGTGCAAATCGATGGCCCATAGTGCGCCAGTTTTCATATGCCAAGATTTCGCAAGCTTCTTTTCAAGAGATAAGATAGGCGGAAACAAATTTGGAAGCTTCAAATACTAGCTGCCAAAAACGATATGACAAAAACCCTAAGACCAGAGTTTCTCCTGCAAAAACCCAACTCACAAAATGAAGGTCCTTCTGTCATATATTTCCTATCTGGGCCCTGCTCCCGTCAGCCGTCCGCAGCTACTGCTCTGGCCCAGCTGTCCCCTGCACGACTGCAAACCGATGGCATGGCTGCTTTGCTGCATATGTATAGATCCGTATTACCACCCACTGTTGTGCAAAACATATATTGGACACCTGCAACAATGTCTTTTTCCGAATTACCCCCCATCACACCACACCACCGCAGAAAATAAGCTTTCGGGCAACTGCCTGCCTTGGGCATGACTTGGCCCGGATGGATGCTCAATTGCCCCTCATTCAATGTAACTGAATTGATATGGTTGTGTATTTGGGCACAGGGTTGGCGAAAGCCTCCCCCGACAGTGACCCCTCTCCTTAAAAAGGTCATCTTACTTGCTGACACCGGACGCGATGTTCTTTGTTTTATTATTATCTTTGCCTTGTTATCAGAATAGAAACAGAAGCCAAAAGCTACCGCGAAATCAATGCGGTTTGTATTTTGTAGTCAATAAACCACAGAAATCAGGCGTTGAACGACTGCAAGGAACAAACAACCGGCGCTTTTAATTCAGATTGGTGCAGCGCACTTTTTTAAACCGATATAATTTGGAAGCTTTGTCAGAAGCTTTTTCCTGGGTTCTGCAGATATATTACGGACCTCGCGAAGGTAGATCGTAGATCGAAATGGATCAATAATGTGTATTAACATGACCAAGCCACATGTGTCTGGAAATGTTCAAAACTCAGTCGGAATCGATTAGTGATACAATTTATGTAATGCAGTTTTGAACATGCGCGCACGCAAATTCAAGCAACAAAAACCCAATGTCAGGCGTTGCAGTCTCCGTAGACCGCGCAACGTCGGCCCAGCCGCGTACACTAAACCGTGGCCAACAAGTGGGCGAAAATGGTAAGGCTTCTGAAATCTATGAACGCGTCGGACGTCAAATGTTGCATTAAGAGGGTAGTCTGGGTGTATATTTCACCTCTGCGACTTTGAAATTAATGATAACAACAGACTGACCCTGCCAGTACCGCGAAGTGGTAATGGAATTTGGTAGTGGAACTGGAAAAGTCAAGGCATAGTCTCTATTTTTCGTGTTGCTGTAACTAGGCCAGATTAGCACCGCGACCGCCGCCTGGTGTCGCCAGCGCCGTTTGGTTTGACGGAAGCTGCAACCCAGGCCATCGCAGTCCTTGCTCCTTTGTGGGCGCGCATGTTCAAGGCTTTCGATGCAGTTTGTTTCCCTAATCGATTCGGCAAAGGAATGACCGTTCTGGGTGGCTCTGATCGCGTTTGAACCCACTTCGACACATTCTATTCAACAATAATGAGACCCCGTATTTCCTTCCGGGCAAGGGGCCCTTTGAATAGAACGCTATGGACACCTTACTGTTCCCGGTCAAGAACTGAATGGCCATTCCGTCTCACAGCGGGATGTCTTCCGGCTGCCATTCTGGTGGCTCGGCGCGAGATCCCCTGGCCGATTCGAAGGCTCTTAGAAGGACACATCATATCACATTGGTCCCTTTGACGCGGGAGGCCTTCCGACACACGCAATAGCCCCTGAATCAAAACAGGAGTCCTCATCGACGCAACAAAATTCCTGGCTCAATAATTGTCACACTTATTCAAGTTTCAATTTTTTACGGTGTTCTGCAAAGATATCGACGACCCCTGCACGTAGATCGCAGATCGAAATGGGGTTCCAAATTTGTATTAGCATGGCTAGCCCATGTCCATCCAATTTTTTCAACATTCAGTCAGAATTGATAACTGAGAAAAATAATGTAACATGGTTTGAAACATGCGCTCGCGCAGATCTTGTCAACAGCCTAACGCCCGGTGTTGCAGTCTCCAGAGGCTGCGCGGCGTCGTCTCCGTGTCTGTAAATGGCCAATGACAAGCGAAAAAGATGACGCATCTTGAGGAAAATGACTGGTGAACTAGGTAAATCAGCACACATGTTTAAGGTAGTAAAAAGTAAGCTAAACGCAACCTAAATCTGAAAAGTGGGGGGGGGGGGGGGGCAGGTAACATTGTTGCCCCAGCCTTCAAAAGTAGGGGCCCATAGCCCCATGGCCCCCTGCCACAACACCCCTGCCAGGGAGAGTGTAAGAGCCCTTATAGCTACTTAAAGCCCTCTGAACTTTCAATGTCTCCGCAGGACATCAAGGAGGTCTTGGGACTACCCAGGGCTCTGGCCGCTCAGGGGCCTCACTGCCCGCTCGGGGCCCACATGCCGAGGGCATACCAGGCCACACATGGGCCGTTTGAGTTGTTCCAGGCCATTCTGGCCACCGCGGGCCTCTCCGGTTATTGAGGGGCGCTTGCCGGCGTCTGCCCCCCCCCCCCTCGGGCCGTTTAGGGCTGCGCTGGTCGCTCAGAGCCGCCCCAGTCACCATTGGGGACCTGTGATCGCGCAGGGTCCTTCATGCCACGTAAGTGCTCGCCTGGCCTCTGAGGGTCCACCGGCCGCACAGCGGCCCGTTTGGCCACCAGAAGCATTTGGTCGTGTCCTCACGACCCTCAGAAGATAAGGTTAGTTAGTTAGGTTAGCTTTTCCAGGCTAGTTTTTCAAAGCCCTTTTGGCCTCTCAAAAAAACCCTGCGCCGACCAAAAATATTTATGGCAGCTCGCGGGCCATGTGCGTAGACAGGGTGGCACAGAGGAAACGTGTTTCCTTAGGTCCCCAGGGGCTAAACTGGATCCACTGCGGGGCTCGAAGGGCCCAAGGGGCTGGCCGGAAGTCGTATCAACGAACCCCGATCCGCCACAGGACGGACCTTACCCGGACCGTGCCGTGGAATGTCAGTCAGAGGGCGTCCCGCGCCGATCACCCCTACGCCGGCCCTGGGACAACAAGGGTCCCACTGCTGGCCAGAGCCCAAGAGTGCCAAACCGTCAGCCCACTGTAAGCCTGACGGCCATATTCCAAGCAGGGTAAGGCCTGGCCTCGCGAAAGCCACTTGAAAGGTCTGTTGCATCGTTCGGAGAGTCTGAGGCCATGAGGAATTTTGTGTTGACCAGGGGGCGCACAGTGCATAACAGGGGAAGCTATGTCGTCAAGAGGACCATTTTCTGAACAAGATGAGGTAGGCACAGCGCTCCGAGTCTTACAGGGCATCTTAATAAAAGGTTTCACAATCAGGCAATGAAAAGGCCGCATGTAAGAAGGCCCCAGTACCAAACTGTGCCACGCTTCAGCCCTTGGTATATCTTTTGCCGCTTTTTGTAATTTTTGCCAATTATTGGACTCCTGCACCGGTAAGGTGCAAGAGTCCAATAGCTGGCAAAAGCGGAAAAAAACTGACGCCTCTGTGGCGTCAGTGAGTGCCTGTGCGTCGAGCCGGGGCTAACTGCCCCGGCCAGAGCGCTCCCTGTGCCCAGAAGCGGACCGATGTATGGTGTGTCCTTCTGAGGTATTTCGGATCGCTCAGGGGGCCCGGCTCTCGAATCACCAGAATGGCAGCCAGTGAGGACCTCTAAGTTTGAAGGAAATGCCATTCATTAGTTAGTTATTTTGGGTCCACTGCAATCGTTATTTGCGCCCATGCCCAGATTTTAAGATACTTTGTCAAACACTCGCGTGCCAAATGTCAATAGTGGGTATGGACAGATGAACAGCAGTTGCATACTCTATCGGGGTGCTTCTCGGCTGCGTACCAAATCAGTAAGATGTAAGTAGGCGAAATCATGGATAAGACAACGGTAATAGCCTTATTCCCCGTTGGAAGATCAAAATATATATCGCACGCATCTATAACGCATCTACATCTCCATTCTCATGGCTTTTCTG